CCTGAGGTCCCGAGAATCCCCGGGTCAGCTTCCACAGAGGGCCCTGGAGTCTGCTGCTTCTGGGGAGCGGGTGGCCGGCTGCCTCGTCTGGAGGGATCCTGTCGGTTCTGTCCCAGGAGTGGGGGGTGAATGCAGCTGAATGACCAGTAGAAGTTGAGAAACCTCACTCAAAGGTCTGGGCTCGGGGACCCTGAGGTGCGCGTGGCAGGCCCTGGTGGTGCAGCCCCACCAGCATTGGCATCCAGGAGACACTAACCTCTCCCCGCCCCCAGGGCCTTAGGGCTGAGCCCCATCAAATGCCCACCCCTTCGATGCCACACACCCCAGTTAGGCACCTGCAGCCGGAGGCGGTGGGTGAAAGACTCCCAGTATTGCACTGAAACTCTGCACTACAACATTACCTGAGCATAAAAGGGATGCTGTATACATGTGAAATAAACACATTATATTCATGCTTGGATACATTATACACACACCCTTGCACCTATGTCCACACACGTGTGCACAGAAGAAACACAGGGAAGTGGTTGGCTCGAGGCCAGGCCCTCCTGTCCTTGTCTGGGCACACAGTGGCCTTCACCCGCGGTCATCTCTGCAGACCTGGACAGGAGCATCCCGGGCCTGGGCCCCGGGCGTGAGACGGGGACCCACAGGGTTTCCTGTAAGCTTGTCAGGCTTTTACGTCCTCCTTTTTCTTCATTTCTCCTGGAAAGCTGTCACAGACATATGCACGTGGGGGCTGGGTGCCCAGAGGCTGTGGACAAAGACGTGGACAGGGCAGGCCAAGGTCTGGCGCTGGCCGCTAGATTCGGTGCTGCGAGGTTATCACACGTGTCCCAACGGCACAGGCTAATGCATGCCTTGCTCCCCCTGAACCCAAGATGACACGCGTGCCGTTATCAAGCTTGCCTGTGCATGAGAATCACCTGCAGAAGGGGCCGGCACTAGCATTGCTGGCACCACACATCCTGGCGGTAGCGGGGAGCCAAGGCTGGTTCAGGAGGGAGGTCAGGGCCGGCGGCTGCAAAGTCCTTTCCTCCGAGGGCCAGGTGGGGTCCATCAGCGCATCAGGCCCG